CCAGGTGTATATTAGCAACTTAATGATTTAATGTGGAGAAAAAAAGCTTGAAGCTGTTGGAGTTTCTCTTCTGTTTTTTGTGATGTTTTAGTTAAAATATGCACTTTCTGTATGTGAAATAGATTATGATTAAAATACGCACTGTCTGTATGTGAAATAGGTTATGGTTAAAATAGGCACTGTCTGTATGTGAAATAGGTTACGGTTAAAATAGGCACTGTCTGTATGTGAAATAGTTTATGGTTAAAATAGGCACTGTCTGTAAGTGAAATTGTTTATGGTTAAAATAGGCACTTTCTATATATGTGAAGTAGGTGAACTTGTCATGTTTTTTCTGTAATTTTTGGTTTGAAATGGAGATAAAGTTTTGTGTTAAAGCATGATCTGGATAAACCGAGGTGTAAGATATCCTCACTGTGGGTGAGTCTGATTTTGAAGAAATATGTCGCATTAGCTGTACCATTTCTATTGATAAATATCTAATCAAAAATTAAAGGAATTGAAAAATTATTAACATTAGTTCCTTTAAAAATGTTCTTTTACTAGTCAGTCTTCGTATGTTAAAGTACAAGTAAAACATATTTTTCTCCCCAATCAATCCTACTATAATGTGAGAGAAGTGTGTTTGTTTGTCCTCTAACTCCTCCTAGGCTTTTGTAGTTGGGATGTGTCAAAAAGTTATTTTTCTTTTAAAATGCATAAATTTTATAGCTCCAGTGCTGGCTAAATACAGATCAATCAGTGAAGGTGGTCACTAGGGGTACTGGTGGGATTTCTCCAGTTTCCTCTTTCATTACATGGGGTATATGTATAGTCTATGTATTTTCAAGCATTATGAGCATACTTAGGACTAAGACAGAAACACTGTTTATATTCATAACTAGTAAAACATTAATTATACATGTGTATTCCATTTTGAAATATCATCAATAATTTGAGGGATTTCTTTTTCACACATTGTTTATACATACTTTCAAGATAAACACACTTATATTAAGTGATATGTTTTTAAGTCACATGTTACTTATTGCCTTTTGATAAAAAATAAAATATTATTTAAATAATCAAGCCCACTGGACATGAATAATTTTATTCCTATTTACTTTTTATTTTTATATTGCCACTGGCATATTTTAGAAAAAAACTTTCATAAATTTCTCACCATGCATCCCACGAGTACATCTGCTAGTATATTAAACTTTTAAGAAGGAAATCTCTTTTTATTACTAATACGTTTTTTCTTTTATCAAATGTTAAAAGTCTTATTTTATTGTTAAATTAAATTGTTTAGTATTTAGTAATATTTTCATTACTGTCCACAATGTTTAAAAAAATTATAATGACTGTTACAGTGCTTAAAAAATCATAAACTTTTTCCACCAATGAATATTAAGAAGCTTGATTCATGTAAACATTTGAAATAATATTATGGACTGTAACTGTAAAATTTTGTTACTACTGATGTCAAATTTGCAATTATATAAGATAGTTGAATTTATAAATGACTTTTCTGAGCCAACTTTCTGGCTTGGCCTGGTGGTTAGGGCACTCAACTCTCAATCTGCAGGTCATGAATTCAAGTCCTGTTATGAAATCTTCTTGCCCTTCCAGTAATGGGGTTGTAATAATGTGACAGTCAAGCTCACTTTTTGGCAAAAGAAATAGCCCAATAGTTGACAATGGGTATTGTTGACTAGCTGCCTTCCCTCTAGCCTATCGCTTCTAAATTAGAGACTGCTAGCACAAATACCCCTCAAGTAACTTTGCATGAAATTCAACAAACAAACATACATATTGAGGATATTTCACTGCCAAGTTTTTTCGTAAACCAAGAAAGTTATTTTTTTTTTTTATTAATAGATATATGTCTATTTAATTGTTATATATATTTTTTCTCCAGACCAGTGGGCCCTTCGATTCATCCCCAAAGAAAATGGCATTCACCAAGTGCACATTCGTCATGATGGTGTCCACATCCCAGAAAGCCCCTTCCGCATTCGAATTGGCAAAGATGATGCTGATCCTGCTTCTGTTCGTGCCTATGGTAATGGGCTAAAAGAGTGTAAAACAGGTATATTTTACATCTTCTGTTGTTACTGATGATGACAAAACCATGTCAAAACGTTGTACATTTGTTGTTATGTTAAACTTATATTAAAGTTTTTCTCCATTACCCATTCAAGCCATCTCCAGCCATTATTAGTCTCAAAGTGGGTTCCTCGTCATCAAAAGTGTTTGAAAGTTTAAAATGATGTTGAATTTGGAAGTTGCAGTAAGACACAGTAGTTTACAAGTTACTGTAAAAGATTTTGTACTTCGTGAGAACTTCTTTCTACGTATTACAACATTTACTGCCTGACAAAGGGTGTCTGCCTGAAATGTTTCTTAAAATCAAACAGAATGAATTTTATACTTAGGCATGCTAATCTGTCCTTATTACCTTTAATCTGGAGAAAAAAGTGTCATCTTTCTGCTGTAAAGAAGCATTTTTATATGTGGTTTGTGACAATTTTGTCAGTGGAGATGGTTGAAGAAGCAACTGTATCAAAGCTTACATGAAGTTACAAGGTGTCTAAATGTAGTTGACGCATATGTGATCATAATGGCATTGAAGCTAAGGTACAAGATAAGGCATTCTACAAAATGCAGAGTTATCATCAAAGAACAACTTGAATAGGCCCATATGCCATAAGTGTTTGCTGACAAGACCTGCTGCATAACTACTTATTTATGGACAAGAATCAGCATCACTTCTTATGTCATGGCCAACCTTCCAATATTTGTATCTTTGAGTCTTAGGTTTTATGGAAGTATGTGCAACTATCTGAGAAACTATGGCTTTGTGAGCTTATTATATCAAAAGTTGTTTCTGCATCCAAAATACCAAATGTACCTTGACCACTCCCACACCTCCAAATATGCAGGATATTCTTCTAATTGACTTGCATACTGGTTGTTAATGATATAGATATCTTTCTGCAACTGTTAATGAAAAATATAGTAGCTTTATATGAAAAAACACAGCACTAAAAAATAACAGCTACATAACAGTATTTTGTATTGATTTGTAACATGATTATACTTTAGTTTACCAAGCTGAAGAATGATATTACCATCTTTTTATTTTTTTGAAAACTTTGTTTGTTTTCTTTGGCTTATTAAACTTAATGTTAAATATGCAGAATTTAAAACATCTCATTAACTTATACAGCTCATGTTAGTTTTCCAGGAATGAAAACAAACTTTACTATACAATATAAATTTCGTGAATCTAGTCCACATTACATTTTCCTAGCTAAGTATTCTTTTACTGATGACAAAACTATATTAATTTTGGTAACCTTATTTACCTCATGAGCTCCTTTTTTTTCAGGAAGCAAGACTGAGTTTACTGTAGACACTTGTAATGCTGGAGCGGGTACTTTAGCCGTCACTATTGATGGGCCATCAAAAGTCTCTATGGATTGTACTGAGGTTGAAGAGGGTTACACAGTCAGGTACACACCTCTTGCTCCTGGTGACTACTTTGTTATCATCAAATATAACGGGTATCACATAGCAGGAAGCCCATTCAGAGTTCGATGCACTGGTATGTTTTATGTCCCCATATTTTTCGTTTTTTATTTCCTTCTAAAGAATCATTAACATCTTTTTGTTTTAATTACTGCAAAATCTCCTGGAAATTAATTCAAGTATAAAATTTGTATTTCAAAGTATTTTAGTAGGGGGAGGAGGGACTAGGTGATCTAAAATATTGGAAAATTATGTTTAATGCAATTTTTTTAATAAAGTTTTCAAAATGAAGTGACTTTGTTTTTCTAGCTTTCTAAATGGCTATCCATTATGATCTTTCATCATTGAAGTTAATTCACAGAGAAACAATTTCAGGTCCATGTCCCACTAACATAAAAACTAGCTCTGCCCTTTGGGTCCATGGGTATGGTATAAAAGTGACAGTCATCATCCACTATCAGGCAAGAGTAGCCCAAGATTTAGTGATGGGCACTATTGAATAGCTGTAGTCCGTCAGTTCAGAATTAGGGGCTATTATGTGTAGATAGCCTTGATGTAGCCTTGCACAAAAAATTCAAGACAAACTTTAAGGATCTACTATCTGCTTAACATAATCATTTGGTTTTAACTAGAATATCTCTTTACACTTTATTAGTCCTCCATAAATGAATTTTGTAATCTGTAGGTCCTTCCATGGCAGACTTTGGTGAGCATGAAACATCATCAGTTATAGTTGAGACAGTAACAAAGCAGGCACGTCAGAAAGCTGAGAGCCTCCCACGTTTCCATTCTAATGCTAACAGAGTTACTTGTAAAGGAATGGGATTGAAGAAAGCTTATCTTCACAAGCAGAATACATTTACTGTCAACTGCGGGGATGCTGGTAAGTTAATTTGTTACTGTTCACATAAAAAAAAATAGATATCACTATAAAAATTACTTACATCTTAAAATGTGACTAAAAGTGTATGTATCTTTACAAATTTATGATTAAAGATAATGTAATATCCTAAAACAGTTTAAATTGGGCTTGGTCTATTAGATCATCCTTGTAGCGGTGAATCTGTACATGATGTAACTCTTGAACATACTACGTGTATCTTCACAAAATTTGGCAAGTTTTTATTGTTGAGGTTATAGTATTCTTGGAATTGTACCAGAAAAAAACCCATAAGGAAACTACTAATTTCTTTTATTTTCATTCAAAATAACTAATATGTTAAACTATTATTTTCTATTTTTAGGTAATAATCTCTTGTATGTGTCCATTTATGGTCCAAAAGGTCCCTCTGATGAGGTGTTTGTTAAGCACTTAGGTCGGAATATGTATCAAGTTAATTACGTGTTGAAAGAGAGTGGAGAGTACGTGTTGGTTGTGAAGTGGGGTGAGGAGCACATCCCTGGCAGTCCTTTTAAAGTGGAAGCCTCATGAACATTGCTATCCCATCAGTAACAACAATAGCTCTGTGTGTGTGTGTGTGTGGTTGCATTCAGCACTGGATAATAATGCACATGAAAGCATGGTGTTTTTTTTTGTTCATTTTGAGTCATACATTGTAGTAATGACAAACATATTTCTCTAGAAATTGTATAAAAGAACCATAAATTCGATTTTGATTTATTTTTTTGGAATGATCTGCCTTGTCTTGGTTCCTGTAACTTAGGATACTAGCTCTTTTGTGCAGATAGTTTTAATTCTAATTGTCAGAGGTTACTTTCTCTGGTATCTATTTAAACCATCTTATATTTTATTGGGAACATTCTAGGTAGAGTGACATTGAAATCCAAAGTTATAACATTATTTTAAATAATAATCAGTCTATTTTCTACATCCTGTAAAGCAAAAAACTATTTTAGTCTACTTTGATCGCCAGTAATTGTACAACTGATAAATTCATGTGTTTGTTAACATTTAAGAATCTTTTGGCTAAATTACAGATTCCAGAATGTTTTAAAAATTTAATGAACAAGTGAAATTTCTATGCCTCCATTTCTAACATGCTTCAGAAACAACTATCTTGTGCTGAATGCAAACTATTATTATTTATACTTTGTAAAATAATTTCATTACTACTTAATTAAAACCCTAAAAAATAAAGCATGCGTAATTCGTTTTCTATTTTATATAAAACAACAAAATCCAAAACCCCTCTTTTAGTGCCAAGACAGATATTTTATTATTTATATAATTTCAGATTTATTGTGCCTTATTAGACTAAATATTATGTAGTGATTCAGTATAGAAGTATGCTTACAGAGAATTTACCGTCCATTTGTTAAACTGAGTTGATTGTGAAATCATGGTCTAATACTCTGTTAAAGATATAAATGGTATCTTTTTTTTAAATTACACAGGACAATCCATTTACAATATGTAAATGCACTAAAATTTGCAATAAAGCAATATTGTTAAATAGTAGCAATGTTTCAATTCCTAACACACAAACACACATGTCAAAACTGCAAAACATCCACAAAATAGTTTTCTTATGAAAAAAATATT